CTTTTCAGCACTCTATGACAATCACAGAATTGTGTTTATTACCACAAGGGGGCAAACTGGCCTCTTATCATAATAGATTAAAAAAAAAATAGAAAATCGTCTTTCATGCTGTGAATGCATGACCTTGTAAATAAGGTTCATCCATCCAGGACTGACACAAAGCCTATTGAATTACTTTATATTTTGGTAAAATTTAGGTTAGTACGCGGGTGTTGGTCTGACGTTTTGACAAAGCGTGTAGTACATATGAGCCGTATCGTTCTATACTAAAGCAGGCATGGGGACTATTTTCAACTATAGCATTTGAACAGTTTGTATCATGCTGCAAAGAAGATCCTATCTAACATTTAAGGTTAATACAGACGTTTTTCAATATTATAGTAATTTGTCTAAAAGTAGCGAAATTCTGCCTGTTAACTACTTTTCCCTCTTTTTGCTGCCCCTCTGTCTTTTTCTCTGACACACAGAGGAACCTTAATTACTCGGAACGTGACTATTTTCTCTTAGCTTACCATTCGGCGCAAAGATAGGATACAAACTAATATTTAATATTCAATTCAATTCAATTTATTTCCACTTTAAAAACAATTTACACATCAATAACAAATACATATGAATAAAAGTGGCAGGATCATAAAAAGCGCTAGTTGGCTCATTGAAAATGACCCCTTAACAAGTATACACATTACCTATCTAACATTGTAAGAAAAAAATCATAACAGGAAAAACATAACATCAAATTGGCAGCACCAATAAAGCCTTTGGCTTTTCTTGCCGTCTCCACATTCATATATATTTTTGTTGTTGTATTTGTATTGTAAATGTTTCTCTTTAATATGTACGCTATGTTTTGTATTTTATATGTTTGATATGATGCTTTTATGATGAATGAAATAAAGTTCAATTCAATTCAAATCAATTCAAAAGGCAAGGAAGAAAAAAAAAGGAAATACAAACAAAATATTCATCATTTATGAGTCCAAGAGGTGCTTTTAAACTAATCGTTTGAATTGTTTTGCAGTCTCACTGTTCTTGAAGTTAGTTGGGTGGTTATTCCAAATAATGGGTCCATTAAAAAAAAAACGCATTATGATTTGTTGATATGCGGTTTAATAAGTGCAAATTATATTATCAAAAAAGGCGAACATGTAAACAAAAAACAAAGTTATGAAAGGGAGGCACCATAAATGCATTATACAGATACTTTATAGATATTATTGGTAAATATTCCTTTGCCCGTTTTATTACACCGACATTTCTTTGCGTTCCTTTTATTGTTTTGATAACGTGTCTGGACCAACTCAATTCTTCATCAATTAGTACACCAAGATATTTCGCGGTATTGACTTTCTGCAGTAAATGTCCATTAACCGAGTCATTGAAATCATAGCCTCTTTATATATCGGCCTTCTCGAAAATTGTTTACAATGAGTTTTCTTCTATTCAATATTACGTTCTAGGAATCTTAATTGCGTATTTTTAGCCGAGTCCTTGCGGTTTCTCGTGATATGCTGATTTAGTATCAAAGATAGCTTTCCCTAGGTCTTCAGTCTTGATTATGATGTTTCAAATATGTAAAAAAGTGTTATATTTGTTTCTTTTTTTGTTTAAAATTCTACTCGGCAGAATTCTACTATCATCCCATTCCATTCCAATTTTATTTTTTTTAAATAGAAAAACGGCGTATTTTTTGGCTCCAAACAGACGGTACACCAGTGTAGCAAAGGATATCCATCACTCTCTTATAATCTAGTAAATACAACTAACTAGAATCTTAATGAATATTATAAAATACTTTTATCTCACCTGTTCACCTTAATATTCAAGGTCCACAGAATATGAAGAACGAGGACGAATCTCGACGGGGTTGAAGGCAACGTAAACAGGAAATAGGAAATATTCTGCTGCTGGACACGTTTTGTAATATGAGTTGATTTGCGGTAAAAGTAAGCCTATTCAAATTTGATTGTATATTTTTCGATAAATAGCATGTATTCACGCTTTGTGAATTAACAACTGTACCAAAAGGGCGCCTAGATGAAAACTGAATAATGAAACCCAGTAGTTAGCAATATTATCAACTTGGATATACAGTGCGTGTAAAGAAAAAGAGTACCGAACTTTGGTAGCTTCTAGTTAAAAAAGTTTTAATCCATGTGACCTTGAATCATTATCCATGGTTAAGGATAACTTATATCCAGTTTAAATATACCATATTCATAATTGTGCTGCCACGGATGACTAAGCAGCAGGCTTTTCAAAAAGGATTGTCAAAATCCTCTTGTACCAAGTTTGGGCTGAAGCAATGAATGCACGGGTCAAAAGCCATTATGTCTGTTTTATCTCACTCCAAAGACGATTGCACACTTATAATTATATTGACTATCTGGAACTTAAAAAGAAAAGGTGATTATATCTACTGAAGCTCAAGGAAATGCTTATTACGAGCAGAATTTATGATATTCTCTTCGACATGATCACAATCTTGATTTCATTCGCACCCTTTGTTTAAGATAACCCTTGTCATTGAGGGATGCAAAATGGATAAAGTTTAATTGGGATGTCATATTTTTTTTAATGAAAGTCTACTGTCATTTTCTTTGATACTTAGCATCAAATGTGTACTTTCTTTCATTTGGTTTTAGTAACATATAAGTTTTCATTCACTATTCGAGATAAGCACATTATGCTATGCGTGTGAAATGGCGCAACGGACAAGTGAGCAGAGAGCACTTATATATCATGAGACAAGGAGTTAGTAGGGTGTTCAAAATATTTTAATCTATGGATTAAAACAAGTTTCTGTGAAAGCCTAGATTCGTTGCATTATTTTAAATAATAAAGCGCGAGGCATAATTTTACTTTTTTAAAGTATTGAAGACCAAAAAAGCACATGCATATTGACTGACCCACATTCTCTCCATCAGCCTTTACTTGGTAATAATCAATGAAGTAACAAAGCATGAGGCACATTTTCCTTATCTTTCCATCAGCTTAAAGTTGGTACAAGGCGATTTCGGCCACCCGTTTTAAAGACCCGAGTGTTCAGTGAACCTTGGCAGAAATATTTGGAACAGGGTATCAATTGACAGAAAGCAAATCACTCTTCATCATAAAGTAGATTTCATAGTTATATTGGTTATGAATTTTTGATTAGGAGGCACCAAATGTTGGTACACTATTTGGAATACGTACTGTATAAAGTAGATATAAATTATTTCCAAGTTTCCTTAGACTCGATGCTGAACTTCATGTTCATATAACATGGTTTTTTACACGGATGCACCGTAGCCCTTTCCCAAAGTTGACACAACTTACTTCAGTCGTATAAAGCAGAATTTATCAACATTTTGATAGTGACGGCATCCTTTTTGCAAAAAAAAAAAGGATCGTGTCACTTTAATCTCAAAATTATTACAAAAGATTTCCTTTCAATTACTCTGGTACACATCAAGTGGCATATACAAAAGAATCGGCACAATTTGTTTCTAGAATTTACCAGCGAATTAAAAAATAACAACAATGACATTTTTAATATGGTAGTATTTTGTAAAGAAAACACAGATAAAATATGAAATTATGTGAGCGGATAGCTCTCTACCCAATACATGAATACAAAAGTCATATATTCGGTCAACTCGGTGCACAGATATAAAGGTATATTTTTTTTCTCACGAAATCGACGTTAATTTCATGATGGATGCAAAATATTTCTCTCGCGGCACTCAAAGGTGCCACAGCACCCCGGTTGAAAAATCGCTGGTATGAAGCATATTATAAATTTTGAAGTTCAACATGTTCAACATGTTCACAGAATACTGTATATTAGTGCATGATACTTCATCAATAATGAAAGCGATAAAATCATCCTGTTCCTCTTAACCTAACTAAAAACCCTAAGGCAGATATTTTACAGTGTTTTGTAGATAACTTGAATACAACACAATACATTCAAATACCGTTCGATATTAAATCTATTCAAAGAAATTATCAAACCACCAATACGCACGTTAAAAGAGTAAAAAAGATGAAACATAAGAAAATATACAACAGTTTTGCATACATATTAAGTATATTACAAACATAAGGAATATAACGGGTTTAATTTCATTTGGTTTTATTGCAACTACAACAAGTAAACCCTTTCAAAACAATTAAACACAATTTCTGTTTTCCTTTGGCCTCGCATACATGTTTATTGTCGTGTACAAAATCAACTTCGATTTGTTTTTGTTTACAGGTGCACAGCTATATACATACACTTAAAGTAATACAGATATAACAGTCACGCATACATGTTAAATATATTACAAATATTAGGAACATAGCGGGTTTAAATTGATTTGGTCTTATTTCAACTTCAGCAAGTAAACCCTGTCAATACATACACTATAATTAATACAAACATACAAACCCACACCACATTAATCCCCAATCATTTACCCTCTTCTAAAAACTCAAAGTACCCATACACATGCAATAAATTATCATTAATTCATTGCATTTTACCCCGGTCCCCAACATTAAAAAAGTCCTCTGTACGGCCATGCATTATGTCTCAAGGCATGGGCGCACATAAGATTTGTTTTCTGTTGGGGACCGGGGGGAAATACAATGAATTATTGATAATTTATTGCATTTTCTTTTCTTTATTCTATTTGTGGGAACTGCCCCCTACCCTAGCCCCCGCCCCCACCGTGTCGATGTGCTATATTAGTGCCCTTTTGTGGAGCATACGCCCTCATTACTGTCATTTATGACTTAAGGGCGTAGGTCCCCTAGTTGATAAGCATACTACCATACACATGCTTTAACAGTCACGAAAAACAAACACGGGCAAATTATTATTTAATACAATCTGAGAATGTATCTATTAGGAATAAATCATTGTCAAAATAATTTCATAAATTGGGGTAAAAAAAAAATATTCCACGTTATGAGCGACAGTCAAATTTAAAAATGTGAAACTCATTTTTTCATTATCTCACAAAAATAATTATTTTGTGTAGCGCCCTCTGCAACAAAACTCAACTATCCCTTTAAGCGTCAGTCAGAATTTCGTCACATTTGCTTAATTTGTAACTCGTTGTACGGGCTTTATTTTCCTTTTCCAAGTTTGACAAGAATTTGGTATATGTTTCTCCATATTAAACCTAGTTTATTCTAGACCTGACGATTGTGCCATTCCCACCCTAATAAAACTATGTATCCTCCAAGTCAAACCTCATGTATATGGGCTGGTTATGTTGTAAATATTCATGAAGTACAGCTGAGATGGCTTTCCTGTAAAAAGCAGCATGAACGTATGATTCACGCTGTTGCACTTTAACAGAATAAAATATGTTGATCTAGATGATTTCAAATCAATAATATTCAGTATTATAAACTTTGTACTCATGTATCATGTACAGCAGATGGCAGTATACGTAAATCTGAAGTCATGTCAGTAGAATATCCTGCCTTTGAAAACAGTCACTTATCCAAGTGACATTTGCCTACACCACTCCTTAAAAAAAAAAAAATATTCATGGAAATGCATCTGATTATGAGTGGTACCAACTCAACTCCTTTTCATTACGTTTCTCCATTTCAAAGTCAATATTCCTTTCTCCCACGTTCACGCATTTCTTGAGGAATTTGAGAATAGCAATATTTTTTTCGTCATTATGTTCGTGGTTATCCAGAGTGTAGTTTTTAAGCATCCATACATGGTCTTTTGGAAGAAGCGCGCTTACAGCTGGGAAGTCTTCACGCGGTTGCAGTTCCTTCTCATGAATAATCGCTACCATCAAATGTCGACCTGGACAAGATAAAGATAAATGCTCTGATTCGAATTTATGTTCACAGTTATCAACAATTGTGGTTTATGTCAACTTCAACAGCTCATTTTTATGTCTATGATGGACATGATAATTTTTGTTTAGTGTTGATCGTAACAAATTTGGAAAATGACAAGCCCCAAAATGGTCATATTGTTTTATAGCATGTCATATTTTATCCATGAAATAAACTAGTATTGGGGAGTATCGATATCTATCTCCTACGAAAAACCGGTTTAATAAGTTATCAACTTACCGTAATCTAGAGCAGAAGAATTTTGGCGTAATACTTTGGAAGTTGAATACATACCTGTATGGTCGGATGTTTGGTTATTTAAGTTAAAAAGTATAAAAGACAGCTTACTAATTAATTTCAATTTCAAATTCATGTATAATATTTTAGCAATACCATATTTTTTAAATGGAAAGTTAATGCCAATGATAAATGTTATTATTGTAATCAGACAGGTGATTGTATGCACATGTTCTTTTTTTGTAACGAAGTCAGTATGTTTTGGAATGAAGTTGAAAGGACTATAAAGAAATATTTCATGTCTGATTTTAATTTCAAACCATGTCATGTATTGTTTGGTATTGATTTTAATTCAAAGAAGGAAAAAGATGTTGATATTATTTTGAATTATGCACTTTTTACTATTTACAAAAGTTTTGTTGGAAAAGAATCTAAAAAGAAAACAACTAAAAAGAGACTTCTTCATATTTTTATTTACCTATTAATTTATCGTTTACAAATAGAAGAAAATATTAGAAAACCATGTATATCCCTCCAGAAATGGAGGCAAATGCTAAAAATGTGAATATGTTTATATTATTATGAAGAAAAAAATAAAGAAGACCTGAAATGGTTATTTTACAAAAAAAAAAACTTACCGTAGTGATCAAGTACGGCACTGTCAAGATTTATAATAAACTCCGTCATTGCTTCTTGGGGACAAAAGCTGCAATCACATAAACGAATCGAAGAAAAAATAATAATGCCAATGACTTGAAACAAAATCGTGCACGTCATACCCCGAGAATGCAGAATACACTTATTAGGCTATTCTATGGAAATGTACGTCCCAAAATTTCTAAGACTTGAATTAAAAAAAAAAAAAAAAATCATATTTTCCGCCTGATTGATTGATTAATTCATTGATAGATGATAGATCCACATTAATGGCAACCTCTGAAATATGACGTTAAGTCTGCCTTCAGAGAAGCACTAAGTGATGCGAGCAGTCATCTTGACTCTATTGAGCATTGGATACCTTTGGGCGGGCTCTCAAACCCTTACCCTTACTTGAGAGTAACACTTCTCTGTGCCCTTTAACAAATTTTCACAATGGGTTTTTCTTCCATTAACCAAAATGTTCCTTTTAACACTTTTAACAAGCTAGATTAAACCTTTAAAGTATTGGATCCAGCGTCTTAAAAGTGTATATTAACCATTTCGATAATGTTGTTACTTGTTTTCCCTTCGACTGTTGGATTGACATTGGATTTTAGAGTAATGTTGACACCAAAACGCTCGCCATGACATGGTTGTTAAATATCTCATTACAGCGAATCGTATAGTAAACACAAATGGTAAAATATCCCTTTTACTAAACGAAGTTTGACTTCATACTGGACAATTTTTTAAGTTTGCTTAACAGGGGTGGGAGGGTCACCCAGCCCCAAACACTGAATTTGCCCTGCTCCAGGCCGTTGCTTGAATAATTTCGCGGTGAACCTCATAATCATGCTCGTTGTTTAGAAACAGTAGCATGGATGAAGAGCGAATATGACGCTGGAACTCCGGTTCTATATATCTTACCTTGGCTTTGCAAAGTTCCAAACAAAAACAGGGCAGTGTATCACTATTCCTCCTGTAACCCTGTTGTGATCATCGACTCCACGCTTGCCACCTGCAAAGCAAAATTATTATTTTTTTTTTTTTTAGCAACAATTGCACAAATTGTGACTCCATGTTCTTATATTTCCACTTACAAGTTAAAAAATGAACTGGATTATTTCATGAACGGTAGGTAATTATGGTTGATATGTTCAGGGGCGTCGCTAGAACATGTAGAAAGGGTGAAGGGCTAACACCTAGATTTGCCGACAGATTTCGAGGAGTGACACCCCAATTTGCCAACAGGTATGTTGAATCCTAAGCTACGCCCCACATTTGCACGATGACAATTACGATTCAATTCGAATTTGTTAAAGCCCACTGCACACTATACTACTCCACTGCAACCTGACCTTGGTAGATATTGTTATAAAAACCATAACATATGAATAAAGTCTAAAATACACAAATGACTAGTAAATCGACGTTGTTGGTTATTGCCTTTCAGTTGGGGACTGGGAGGGGGGGGGGGGGGGAGGGGGAGGGAGGGTAGGGGGAGAGAAGCATCATTTTTTCGTGCATTTTTTTCGCATTTTCATGACATTTTAGGTAACTTAATATTATCTTATTTTTGTGAGGTTGCGCTTTAACTGATGAATTTTACTGCTAACCCATGGCTAGGTTCCTGTATTCGAACACAATTTCCTGTCCTTATTTAATATAAGAATATTAGTTTGATGTAAAGAACACTTACAAATCTGGGGTATTATATCGTCACTTATTTGCCTCACGTCAACGTCTCTCATTTCTCTACTGTCAATGATGTGTATATGCTCTGTAATGCGGATGCGCTGTTTATACCTTGTTGCCTCGAGGTGCATTGGCATCTCGTTGGCGCAATCATCGTATGTACCTGCGTAGGGAAAAATTTCAAAGAATCGAAGAAGCTAATTTCAATACATTAGGAGCATTCTCACGGGCATTCAACCATGAAAAAAAAAAGTATTTTGTAAATAATAGTTTAAGGAAACGGTGAACTACCATGAAAAGAAAGAGGTGGAGAGGAGGAGGGAGATATATAAATATATATCTATATATATATATATATATAGAGAGAGAGAGAGAGAAACAGAGAGGAGGGAGGGACGAAGGAAGAAAGAGGAAGAGAGAGAGAGTCAGAGAGAGCTGAGAGAGAGAGAGAGAGAGAAAGAGCGGGAGACAGACAGAGAGGGAGAGAGATATATATAAAGAGACAGAGAGAGAGAGAGAGAGAAATAACGAGAGAGGAGATGGGAGTGAAGTATATAAATAGAGATTAATAGAGATTGAGAAGAGAAAAGGAAATTTGAAAAGTAGAAAGTTCAAATAGAGAAAAGGGATGAGAAAGTGAGAGGAAGGATAAAAGTACATGCAATATCAAAAGAAGAATGAATGGAAGAACCTGCTGTGCCAAGCACCATGACAATTAATATTGCACATATTAATTATATTGCTGAAATACATGTACATATAACGTACTGATATTACATAAGCCTCTATTTATTATTGAAGGAGCGAGTGAAAGATGGGATTGGACAATTTTGGTACCTCAAAGTTCTCATTTTTAGGTAAGGACAAATCAAGTGCATTTCGTATGGTACGACTACATGTATTTTACAACTTGGTGAAATGCTTGACCATTCAGAAGCATATTCGGGTGACGTGACTATCTCTCTCTAACATTCAAACGTTGTGCATAAATTGTTGGGTAGAAAATATCGATGTTTAAATAACACGGCCATTATAGTTAGGATTGGTAAGATTTGGATAAAAAGTCACAACACCAATGAGATTCTGATCGTGATCAAAATATCACTTTTTAGTGAGACATTTGGATTCATACGCTTAACAAGTGAGATTCTGATCTAGAGTACGAATTTAATGATGAGTAGTATAGAAATACGACATCCTGGAGCTGTAGCGATAGTATTATTACAAGACCCTTAGGGACAACAGTATAAAGACATATTGTTTTTATTGTTTTGGTATTGTTATCTATTATTATCAATTATTTTCAAAACCTAATATTCAGTTGGTAGATAAAACAGGAGCCGAACTTCATGCAGATATCTATGGTCGTCAGTTTTTGTACTGATTACAGCAAGTCATTTTCTAAATCGTTAATTGATTTAATTCGCTGTCCTCCCTCCATTTATTATAATTATAATGATCATTGTCAACATTATTATCGTTATTATTGATGTTATTTTTATTATTACTATTTTATCATGATTAAATGCCATATTAAAAAACAACAGTTGTGCTTGTAAAATGGTATTAAGCTGCTTTACCTACCAGTGAAAGCAAACTTAAGAGAATTAGCTAAAGCCGATTTTCCAGAACCTTTTTCGCCATACAGTCCAATATGAACTACTTCTGGCCTCGCCTTATCGTTGTTTATGCATTCTATCTGTCTATAATTTTGCAGATAATCTTTGAGTTTATCCAGCTCCTCTCTGTGGTTTTTCAGCGCACTTGACTCTGTTTCTGCAAAAGTATAAGCCAACAGGAAAAGAAAAGATAGTGGGTAGAACGTTTTCGAAAAATATAAAATCATTAAAACATGCATTCTATTTATTGTTTAATTCTTTAAAAAAAAAAAGATTTAATTTTAGCGGGCAATGCTACAATTTGAATCGTTTGAAAGCAGAATAATCAAAGAAATCGGTTGGTAAAATAAAAGTTTCTTTTAAGAAAGGATGAAAAATCCTGACTTGACCAGAATTTATAATTAGTCTGGCTGATAAATTTGAAATCGTGTATCTTGAAATTGCTTAGGAACTGTCGTAACCATCATGATCATTAAAAGACAAGTTATGAAACAAAAAACATTTTTCGCTTGATGTCTGGACATGTCCTATGAAAATGTTATGCTGGAGTGAGCAAATAACTGATTTCTTGTGTGTAGTGAAGTATAACTTTATGATGGAAATAGAATATCACAAGGAATAGTTGATGAAGAAATAAAAATCAATCAATATATTATTAAAATCAACTAAGCAAACAGTTAACCGATCAATCAATATCAATTAAAGGCACCACTGAGTTTAAACTTGAAAATAACGGCAAGCTTGTAAACGTCGTCACCATCTCTTTACTATTAAGATATGTAGCACCATGTTATGTTGTATTCAGGACAACATAGATTAAACCAGTAATATACGATCTGTTGTTGATCTTTATAGCCTCACCTGTAAAGCCATAGAATAATAATATTGACATGTCAACACATACTTCGATAATAAAAGAATTATACAGTTTCTTGTCATTTCTTTTCCACCTACAAAACTCTCACATTTGCTGATACGAGCCAGAACAAATATTCCTGTCTTATCTGAATTTGGCATCTTTTTCTTCACTCAAACATAACACGTCGTCAAAAATGTTGGTGTCATTCGATGGAAGAAACCCTTACCTATTACCTTACCAAGCAGGTGTGAAAATATCCTGAAAACATTTGTATATTATTTGGGGAGATTATCGATTTTCGTTTTGTTCATAAATAAATGATATAGTTCTTTTATCTTCATACTTAGACCTAAAAGTACTATTCCATACCAAAAATATAAGTGTTGATTAAGCCTTAAAAAAGACGGCTACGAACCAGGGGAAATTTATTTTTAAAAGTTGACCCTGGTTCACGTGGATTAATCCAGAACCATGGGGAAGTTTCCAAAAACAGATAATTACAACCAATTAAACAAGTTAAATAGGCTAGAACCTACAATGTTAATTTCATAATGCGAATGCGATCAACTTAATAACTTTCTAATCTTGACAAGATCAACGAGAAAGATTGTCATTACGATTAAGAACATCAACTTGCACATGAAACAGTATTTTAATGCTAGAGCTATTCCACCCACGATTTTTTCTTCAAAATCCAAATCCAAAATCCATATTTTTTTAAATCCCAGTGCAAGAAACAGAGATAATTGACATAGTAAACAATCTACCACAGAGTCCTGGCTATGATGGAATCACGAACAGTATTTTAAAACATGTAATCTCAGAAATTGTAATCCCATTAACTCACAGTTTTATCTTATCGCATATAAATGAGTTCGTTCCCTCACATATGAAGAACGCATAGGTTATACCCATATACAAAAAAAAGGAGATACACGTTACTGCGGAAACTATAGACCAATATCCCTTTTAACAACATTTTACAAAATCTTAGAAACGAATATTTATACGCGCACCATTAAATTCTTAACAGAATGTGGCTTACTTTTTGATTCTCAATTCGGTTTTCGCAAAAACCATACAGCTCACGCAATGCTAATATTTATAAGTAAAGTCGCTCAAGCAATTGATGATTATTCACACACCATTGGAATATTCATGGAATTATCAAGGCCTTCGACACTATAGATCACGAAATGTTATTATATAAACTCTCGCACTATGGTGTGAGAGGAAAGGCCTTGGGGTGGTTCAGGAACTACTTACAAGACAGGCCCCAATTTGTCTCGGTCAATAATTGCGAATTAACTGTCAGACCTATTACATGTGGTGTACCACAAACTTCGTTAATCGGCCCGCTGCTCTTTATTTTATATATAAATGATATTAAAAGCGCATCTACCACTTTATCATTAATCTTATTTGCAGATGACACTGACATATTTTTATCTCATCTTGACCCACAACTATTACTAAATATGTTAACTATGAACTCACTTTAATTTATGAATGGATCCAGACAAACAAACTCTCCTTGAATATTAACAGAACCAATTACATGTTGTTTAGCAATATTATTGACTCACTTCCGGGTGAAGTATTTATTAGTGAAGCAGCCCTTGACTGTTAAATCTACAAAATTTCCCTTCAATTCCCTTACTCTTTACTCAACGCTAATACTGTCGTATTTACATTATCGAAATCTTCCTTTGGGTAATCCAGACATCACATATATTAATAGAATCCTTCTTTTACATAAACGTGATAAATAATGCCTACTATTGCGCATACACTGAACCTTTTTTTTTTTCGGAAGGCAAACTGTGACATGTTAAAGTTTAATAAAAATCAAATTTCAGTTGTCTCGCCAAGAACTTCCATCAGCCACGATTGAAGTCCTTACAACAAATTACACTGTCCACACATACCAAACACGACATGCTACACGTGCAAACTACCATCTTCCTCTAACCAGGACAGTTTTTGCCCCCCAAAAATTTTATACACAGAACCAAAATACATTGATCTTAAACATTGATCTTAATCTCAAACAGCTTAAAAATCTACGGCAGCTTCAAAAAACATTTTAAATTGTTATTATTGAATTCGTACGTGTAATGCACAACTATACTTCTTTTTCTCTCTTCTCATTCTTCTTCTGACTCCCATTCTTTACTTTCTCTTCCTATTTTTCTTTTTTTCTTGCATCCATCATCCAAATCATTTCATTGTTTTTGTCTGTATACTTTGCTTTTAATTATTATACTTCTACCTCATTATAAATGACACTGTGTCAAAATTATTTCGAGGAACTTAAATTTTACAAGCTACACTCTAGAAAAATGTTGGGCAAAAAATTGCCCAATTTTTACCCAACATGAAGGCGATTATGTGTCCAACCAACTGTTGGGTAAATTAAAGATTTTGCATGATTTACCCACTGTTGGATAAAAAGAAAATACCCAACTTTGAACCAACAAAAATATACCGAATCAGAAATTCACCCGATTCTCACCATAATGTGTAGCATATTAGACACTAGTTGGGCAAATACGTTTGATAAAATATCATACATGATATATATCGAAGGACAATAGTGCCCATTTAGTTTGGAACATTTAATTGGCTAACTTGACATGTAGAAAAGATAACTCAATTGTTGGACAAAAATGGCCCAACTTTAATTTTCCCAATAACAATTATTTCATCGGTAAATACATGGTTGGTAGAAAAAAACCCAATTATTGGACAACATTTGCCCAACATCGATTTGCCAAGTAACACCGACCCAACCGATTTTTTAACCTTTTAATAGGTAACTTCTTATAGCGAATGGTTGGGGAAAAATGAGCCAATTTTCGGACAAGATTTTTCCAAAATCGATATTACCCAGTAGCATCTGCCCATTTTTCTTTTTACAGTGTATATTCTCTTTATCAGTGGCGTACGCATAATTTTTTTAAAGGGGGGGGGGGGGTTTAACATTTTGGAATCGGGCCAAAAATTTCGCAACGACTCAGCCAGCCGCTGAATAAGTGGGGGGGGGGGGGGTGGTGGTAAGAGGACATATTTTTTTTTTTTGGGTCACAAAAATTTCGCAACGACTCAGCCAGCCGCTGAATAAGCGGGGGGGGGGGAAGATTTTTTTTCGGGGGTCCCGAAATTTTAACATTTGACTGATAGGCATTACGTTCGTTGAGGAGGGGGGGAGGGTAAGGTCACCTTTTTTAGGTCATCCATTAGGATTAAAAAAAAAATAAAAAAAATATCAAAGGGGGGGGGGGGGTTTAAACCGAAATCCCCCTTGCGTACGTGCCTGCTCTTTATTACATGTAAGTTCCTTTTTTCACATGTAATTTCGAAATTATTTAGTGTAAATGCAAAACAAACAAAATTTTGTAAATATGCTATGTTTTGTTAATGTATTGTTTTTTTATGTGAAATAAAGAAACTAAACTCAAACTCAAACTCAATGTAAATAAAAATACTGATGAGAAAATAAATAAATAAATCGTAAATTTCACGAAAATCGGAAATCCCAAACCGAAATCGCATCTCGCACACAAACCTTCCACCACACTTTCCGCGGAACACGCACCTTCTGTGTAAGGGAGCTGGCGGGATGGAAGTTTGCCAGCGAGCCGCTACTGCGCCAGCGGCAGATCCACTGCACGCAAAATTACTGGGACTCGAAAGAATAATAATTTTAGAATGACATCTTTGTGGGTGAGCAATATAAAGCACCGATCATTTATGAAAGTCTGTTCGACACTCTCCAAACTCCTTCATTCACATCAAAACAATAATGTAAGGACTTGGTAACATTGTTCAGATGAGATAAGATGGTAATGACTTCAATGCTAGATGTAATTTTTTTTTACAAAGCTTGTCATATGTCTTATTTTCATGGAAAAACGGTTGGGAAAATTCATAAATGGTTGGTAGAATTTACTGTTAGAGGGTGTCACACAGTGGCGCCTTAGAAAATAAAAATCATAAATATGTTTGTGGTTTGAGAATGTTTTCAGGATTGTTTGCATGTAAGAGGAATATGATAAGTAACATTTCATACACAAATTACGCAGTTTTTTCATCAACCTTCAACGATGTTACCGAGTCACTTTAATGTAACATATATTTAAATTGCAAAGGTCACATTTAAAAAAAGGATTCTATGCCCCTCGGAACTCCTAAACACAGGTATCACATAAGAGGTTTGGACAGTTAGTTCAACATTTGTTTTCATATGCCTACCAGGCGTCATTTGGGCGTTTAATAGACAAATGTATTGCCAACAAATTGCCCCTCGGCCATCAGAACTGAAATTGTTCAAGGACCACGTAAAATCATATATCGACAAACTACTTCAACGGAAAGAACACTTGTTATTATTAGGTTCGCTATTGCATACATGTGCACTGTAAATAGATCAACCACTATCTTGCCCTAGAGAAGTACATGGCTTGTAATAATAATGATAAATAATGGTACATTTCTATAACACGCACATGTCCATCACGCCGTGCTGCGATATATGTAACGCTGGGGCATGTCGGATACCCATTTACACCTGGGTGGAGAGTGGCAAATGTGGATCAATGCCTTACCACATTACACGTTATTGCCGGTTAGGAATTCGAACCCCCAATCGTTGGATTTATAGTCAAGTGAACAAACCACTGTAGCACGACACCTCTACACGATACTTACCAGCAACGTCAGGTATTGAAGAAGTACTCTCACCACGGTCCATGCTTTCACATAGGTCTATCCTGCCGACCCTCTCCAAGGCTTGTCTTAAGATCCTTAAGCTCGTTTCCTGATGTTGTAGCCTCGACCATTTTTTGAGCATATTAAAGGTCCCTTCGTAAACTATACCGTGTCGGTTTGCGACCCTGGAGCCATCGATATCGTATTGTGGGATTCCCAGTTCCAATCCTAGTTTTTCAGTTTCCTCATCTGTCTTCATATTTTCAGCAATGTGTGTCAAAACACGCCAGAAATCTTGTTCACTCCTCGGGGACATGCTAGATGAATAAGAAGTACGTACAGACAATCTTACTAACTTATTCAGGAACTACATCAACAAGCTGCCATTATTTTAGCTTTGAGATTTATGAACCATGTTCAGGTTATATAAAAGCACTGTGTTTTGGTAAAATACTCTATACCTTTACAATATTGGATGCTGAAGAACATGTTATCAGGAAGTATTCGAAATTTGAAATTTGATATAAGAAAGTTAGGTACATGTAACTTGTTTTCTTTCATCTCCTAACGATGACCAAAGCATATTATTTAATATGGGTTGAGACAGATTAACACATTTATTGGATCAATACCGTAAACTTGGAAAGTTTTTTTTTCAGGGCTTTTCTATAGGCGAAGACCAACAGTTCTTTTTAGACTCTCAAAAAAACTGCGACTTGCTGAATCTCGATCACCACTTCCTTTTCTTATTTCTATTAATTCGACATCATTTTTATGAATAAGATCGAGAAAAACCCCGAACGAGTCTGATTTAAGTGTAAAATTAAATTTCACTCCGCGATATTTATCCTCAGTAGCCGCATCAGTATTATCACTGCTTCTCTTTGTGACCCCGCTGTTATCTTTATCCCATCAACTTTCAGGTACACATTTATACCTGGGTTGAGAGTAGCAAATGAAGATTAATCAACTCTTGGATTTGTGGTGAGGTAAATGGTAATTTATTAAGTTAAACCGGAAATCGAAATTCTTTTTGCGCAATTGATCGTGAGCCCGGTAGCCACTGAGCAGCGCCAGATCGACGTTGCTCTATCCCTTATTGTTGAACGCCAAACAAGGTAGCAGAAACTCCCGTCTTTTAACGTCTTTTGGTATGACGGCGCTATAGAAATGCCTATTATTACTGTTAGTATTATTATTTACACTTTGCCTATCAAACTCAAACATATCTCAGTTTTGATATAAAAATTATTGAGCAGCATACATAAAAAAGGGCAGAAAATAAATCCTCTCTAAGTTAAAAGTGTTTTGACATTATCCAGATAGATGAGTTTAACAAGTAAACGTTTTAATGAAATTTTGATTATTATTATAATTTACGTAGTGATGGCAAAATTATCAGCAAGGGTAAACAGATCCTCTTTTCAACTTTTCACTCGCATGCTAACTATGGCCCACCTTCTACTGTGCTCTATTCTTTGTCGATTGATCTTAACTTTATCTCCATGTAACAATTGTTATGACAAATTTGCTCTCACTTGTTCACCTTCGCGAGGTCAAACAGCTCTGTAAAATAAAGAGAACCTCTAGCAGGAAAAAAGGCGAAATTCTTGCATGTAATGTAGTGCAGGAGATATTAATAAAGTGATACCATATGATATATTGAATATAGATACAGATGCGTGGACTATAATCTATTCCCGCTTTTGTCACTTAATCGAGTGTGACAAGGTGGCTTCAAACTTTCAGAAACGAAAAGGATTAATGATAAAGTCGACTTGGGTATAAAATTATTAACAATTATTCACAGGTTGAAACTAAGGCCTTGGATGACATCTCTACCCATTACAGAAGTGCAGTGTAGCCCTTCCCTTATGGGCAACAATGCTATTTTATGAGGGGGGGGGGGGGCTGCAGTGTAGTCCCCTCTCAATGAGTACTCGTACTCCTCCGGGAATGTTTTACAGGTCGTGGTAACAAATAAAACATAAAAGCAAAGTTACGTATTCATGTAAACATATTAAAAGCTTAAAGAATTATCTGTATTAAATTTGATTTAGGTTGCTGTAGTCATTTCAAAGTCTAATGAAAATGAGTTGGAAATTATATGTTTTTAAAATTCTGAGTCCTGTCATTACACCAAACAAGTAAATTAGGGTTATCAGATTAGGGTTATCAGATTAGGGTTAACAGATTTCATATCATGTTGTTGATCTCTTTCCCTCTCTTTCATCAGTCAAAGAAATATTGCCTTTTCATTTCAGCACTCTGTCATGGTTATGGGAAACACAAACCTGGGGTTATTATTACGAGGGGGCAACTGGCCTCTTATTATAATAGATTAAAAAAAAAAAATAAAAAAAAATCGTCTTTTATGCTGTGAATGCATGACCTTGTAAATAAGGTTCATCCATCCAGGACTGACACAAAGCCTATTGAATTACTTTTTCATTTTGGTAAAATTAGGTTAGTACGTCGGATTTTGGACTGAATTTTTGACAAAGCGTGTAGTACATGAGCCGTACCGTTCTATACCATAGCAGACATGGGGACTATTTTCAACTATGGCATTGAACAGCTGTCATCATGCTGCAAAATAGATCCTAGCTAATATTTAATATTGATACAGACGTTTTTCAATTATATATTAATTTGTCTAAATGTAGCAAAATTCTGCCTTTAAACTACTTTCCCAACTTTTTGCTGCCCCTCTGTCTTTTCTCTTCATGTTTGGTTCTTTTTCCACATTAATGTGGGTGGGGCGGGGGTAGTCCGTTTCACGCACATCCACCAATCTTTACGGAACCTGGAGTTAATTGAGTCAAATTTTACATATTTGGTCATGTAGATTCCGGTATTAATAGCTTAAATCTAAGCTTTATCTTTTATTTTTGAAAGTCTACTGTCAATTTCTTTGATACCATCACATGTTCTTTTCTTCTTGCATTTGGGTTTAGTATATTTGTAAAGCGCTTAGTGACATTTGTGTTAAGCGCTATATACAAATTTAATATTATTACTATTATTTAGTAACATTTGTGTTTTCATTCACTAATCGAGATAAACACCTTATGCTGTTCGTGTGAAATGGCACAATGGACAGGCGAGCAGAGAGAACTTGAATATCATTAGACAAGGAGTTAGTAGTCTGTTCAACATAATTTAAGGTTATCTTGTAGACTAAAATGATATCTTATGGATTAAAACAAGTTTCTGTGAGAGCCTAGTTATATTAATATAATATATTATTATCAGTTTAAAAATACACACCCACACCCACACCACATTAACACCCCTACTCATTTATCTTCTCCTGAAAAATCAAAGTACACACACAATACATAGACATATCACCACCATTTTACGCCCACCCACACACGCACAACCAGATTTGTTATGTATAGTTGAAGCAACAATTAAATATAAAAGGCTTTTTCTTGAAGTACTTTGATGTTAAAAGAAATATCATGCAATATCCTATATACAGAGGCTATCAATTTATTTTTCCTTCATTAAGTTTATGTAAAAAGGAACAATTTCAACCCGGTTTAAAATTTAGTAGAGTGGACTGGTTGTCTTTTATGAGTGTTTAGGTCCTTTAACAAGTACAGCCGTTAGGTACATAATGTATAACAAGAGTGAAATTATACATTGAACGAATACTACTTTCGGGCACGGTGACGATGCTTGCCATTCTTAAGCAGCAACTGACTGCTTTACAGGGTTTGCCCATTAAAAGTGCAATCATTTCCATACTTGAATTGACAACAGTTGTACACAATAAAGTACTTTATTAAGGCCATTTTTAAGTAATGAATGAGAGCAATATTATTTCTTTTATTTGTGTCATAATTGTTATGGAAGTTATCATTAGGTTAGATGAAATGGATTTTAATGAAAGTCACAGATAGCATGTAATATCGTTTTACTAACTGTTTATTTATAGACTGAGGAGGACGAATTCTTGTAAAGGTGAAATACTGAGAACTCTATCACTTTTTCACGGGAAGTGTCAACATAGAAAGGATAGATCTCAAAATGTCCTCATTATGCAAATTAAATATTCACAGGTTGTAAGGCCTGAATGACAGCACCGCTCTTTGAAGGGTGGGGGGGGGGGTGCAGTGTAGCCTTTCCCTCATGAAAAACAATTTTATTTGAGGGGGAGGGGAGGATGCAGTGTAGCCCCCCTCTCAACGATTACTCGTACTTCTCCAGGAATAATCAAAGGCTACGGTCATAAATGAAACATAAATGAAAAGTTACGTATCATCATAAATATATTGAAAGATCATGGAATTATCAGTATATAAATTGTTTTCATTTTGCTGTAATCACTTCGGTAAATGACAAATCTGTGTCTCTTATTTCCGTCATCACATTAAACGTGTAAATTAGGGTTATCAGATTTCATATCACGTTGTTGATCGCTTTCCCTCGCTTTCATCAGTCAAAGAAATATTGCTTTTTCATTTCAGCCCTCTGTCATTGTTATGGGAAACACAAACTTGGGGTTATTACCGCGAGGGGGCAAACTGGCCTCTTACCATAATAGATTGTGTTTTTAAATAGAAAAACGTCTTTCATGCTGTGAATGCACGGTTTTTTGTAAATAAGGTTCAACCATCCAGGACTGACACAAAGCCTATTGAATTGCTTTATATTTTGGTAAAATTAGGTTAGTACGCCGGATTTTGGTCTGAAGTTTTTCTAAAGCGTGTAGTATATGAGCCCTACCCTTCTTTAGCCGAGCAGGCGAGTGGATTATTTTCGAGTATGGCATTGAACAGTTTTCATTATGCTGTAGGATAGATCCTTGCTAATATTTCAGATTAATACAGACGCTTTTCAATTTTATAGTAATTTGTCTAAAAGTAGCAAAGTTCTGCCTTTAAACTACTTCCCCCTCTTGTTGCTGCCTCTCTATCTTTTCTCTTTAAGTTTGTTCTTTTTCCACATTTATATATGGGGGGGGGGGGTCTCTTTTCACGCAAAACTGCCAATCTTTACTAAATCTGGAGTTAATTGAGTCATATTTTATCATCAGTTTTTTTTTTTCAACTGTTACACATTCGATACACCTTTAAGAGTAAAAGACAATCTCCGAGAAATCACTCTAATTATTTAAATATCATATAGTATAAATAACCCGACACTGATTTCTTGTCGTTTGCGTGTTATGACTGCATTACACAGGTCAAAAATCTTCCCAATCTTTCTACCTCTGGGCTAAATATTGATTTCCATATATATTTGGTTACAAAGATTTTAGTATTAATAGCTTAAATCTAAATTGTTCGTATTA